CGTCGTTTGTTGCAATGCCTGAATCGACTACACACCACTGCAAAATCTTTTTTCTCGCTGACTAGTGCTGCCTGGTCCTGCTCAAAAATCCACATGGCGTCCTGAATTTTTCTTTTGGCCTAAGAATATACCCTATAAGGCTATAGCCCTTCAAAATCCGTTTCCGATACATTTTTCAAAATCTAGAAAATCCGCGATTTGCGTTTTCTAAAAGGCAGCATTTGAGATTGAAGCTAGATCAAATCTAACTATCAGGTTGCTAATATAATTTCGGTTGGTTTTCGGCTCCTACAAATAATGCTACAGACGATTTTTTGCCCCGTACCTAATATCTTTGAAAAGAGCACTTCAAGGAAAACTGAATCTTGGAAGTTGTTTGAACAGAAACTATTTTCCAACGAAAAACCGCGAAAGAATGAGAAAACCCGAATTTCTCAGGTGCGCAAATATTGGGTTGTCCTGAAAGTTTTGTCCGTTTTTTCAAACCCCTATAAGACCACGCACAATAAAAACCTGAATGACTTTCAACATGCATTCGATGCAACTTTTCCTTCTCTTTCTTATGGTTTTATTTCCTAGCCATATTTATGTATGCTTTTTTCTATAATTGCCACAATTCTTCACCCGTCATTTTTATTTACTAAAAGTTCGGCTAATTTTCTAAATTTCAATCGAAAGTTCTGAAAATGTTAAATATGGCGCAAATAGAGTAAATTTTGTAATACATGCCTATATTTTTAGATTCTTCTAACCTGCTGTTTATAGCTCTAAAAAATTATTTTTAGAGTTCTCGATTTTTGCGAAGTCATGAAACACGCCACTGCCGCAAAAATTCCGCAGTTAGAAACTTGATTGATAATGAGCATTATTTATGCAACATAGTCAAGTTTAGTTTGCTTTGAAAAATCAGTTTTCCGGAATTTTTGGTAATTTTACGTGGTAGACGTAATCAAAAAGCCGCAATTTTCCCCAAATAAATAATTATTTAGAACTTGATAAAGGTGGCCCATGTAATATAAAGTAAGTTTGATGTAGCCGAAGATTTGCTCTACATAACAATTATTAGCGATCTTTGAAAATAGCAGGAGAAAAATTTTTTGAATTCAGGAAATGTTTGACGTTACTGTTGAGCTGCTCAGAAAACCATGGCGATAAACATCGCAAAGACAGGGTAGATCAGAAAGCAAATATAGCAGTAAGAAAGAGGATAAAAATCTAAAACAAATTTTGCCTAGAACGTCTATGGTGTTCTGCAGGTTTTATGAACGTCCTTATCGCCCAACTATGAAAACAGTGCACAGCATGCTTTCCCTGCCGAGAATATCGCTCTCGAACTTACACGCGCAGGCCAATCTTACACGCATCTGGACGAGTTGGCAATTTCCTTCTCACCATTGGAAACTGCCCGCCGCAACATTATAACCATTAGGTCCCACCACGATTTAGCGACATTGGCCTTGCTCCACTCGTCCAATATCAAAGGGAAGGGCATTGAAAAACGCTCATTTTCGCCGTTTTCAAGCTTTCAAAAGTGGATTTTCGGGATCAGCGTATTGGAACACCCCAGGTAAGCGCAAATTTGACTAGGTTGAGATTTGCCGAGCCACTGCCTACAAAAGTTGCAGAATTGAGCGTTTAGAATTATTATCCATATTGAAGCATGACTCTAGCTACCTAACTGATGATTGAGAATCTCGAATATTTGATATGTGATAGAAGAAACTTTGAACTACTTCCTTACTTCCTTACTTCCTTACCATGGATAAAAAATAACTAGAAAATTTTTTGTGATGAATTTCATGCCGAAGCAAAATTATTTTCTAGCCAACCTAATAAGAATCGAACCCAGGAATGGCCACAATGAGACAGAAAGATATGGAAAAGATTACTATTACCAAAACATGGCACGAAATAGACCGAAAACGAATTTTCTGCGACACTTTCAAATTTTAGGTGGACCACATTGAACTATGTAATAAGTTCAAATATTCCATTCTCTAGATTTTAATATTACATCCTCATAGATTTTTATCCTAATAAACCTGAAAACAACAAGCAAACGACACCTTCTCGAGTCCTGCTTCATTCGATATGCGATGTAGAAAAGATCCGGCGAGAACCTTGGAAGAAGCGCCGCCAAAAACAATGCGCGCATCGTAAAAAATTTTCTGAAGAAAATAAACATCTACAGAAGCCAGAAGCGATTACCAATTAGCGGTTGGAGTATTGTGAATATAATTCTCTTGCCTATCATATAAAGACAAAATCGCAATTTTATTCAGTCTTTGCAAGGCTACAAATATCGTCTGCATGTAGAGTGTGGACTTCCTGTGGACCACCCTATACGTAAAATTACATACCTATTAGGTTTGTGTAAAAGCTCTTACTTTTTCCAAACGCCTTCGAATCTCGGAGAGTGAAGATAAGCGAACATTTAGAATAAATTTTAGTTTAGAATTTCTTCCTCTTTCCATTCGTTATGTTTCCGACGCAGCTTACGATGATTACGGAGATAATTGCCGAAGATTGCGACCCCTCATTTTCAAAATTTCCATTATTCGCAAATTTTCTGGGCTTATTTAGACTCTAAAAGTGCTTTGACAACGCCCCGATAGCGCAACTTTTGCAGCTTAATATGTTTCTCTAGCATGCTTTTTAGAATTTTAGTGAACAATTTTCCAAATGCAGTAAATTCTCAAAAAAAGCACAACATATAATTACACCAAACATCGCAAAATTTTCAGAGTTTAAGATTTTAGAACGATCGAGATTTTAAAACTTGATTGTTATTTTTATAACTTCAAACATTGAATTAGAGTTTACTGCTTCAAAATATGTAGATTTTGAAATATAGGATACAATAGTGCTCAGCCGTAATTGAGAAATACTGCGATTTTGTATGCAAAAATGGTATGTATCGCGACGAAATGATGACTGTTATAAAAATGGAAGAAATTGCACTGAATGCTACCTGAACTGTGTAACATTTTATGTTTGACAAGGTTAGATAAGAGCGATCAGGAAATTTGGACACTTCAAAATTTATATCTCAATGGTTCTATAACGCATTGATCTGCAGAAAGATTGCTTTATCACTTGGCTTTCAAAGCACATTTGAAAGTCTTAAATGAGTATTCCGAAAATAGCTTAAATCAGGCGTGGTACAAATGTCGTAAGCTTTGGAAGTTATCTCAGCGCTCGTTAGCAGATTGCAACGAGAACGTAGCTGCCGAAAAAAGGAAGTTATGCATGATATCATGCTTGGAAAATAATATTGATGTAACTAAACGGGATTTGGGGTCGGCGCAAAGAAAGGAGAGGACATTTGCACAGACCTAATAAATCTTGCCAGCTAAATTTTTGATATGATAAATTTATGTACTCTTTGATTCAACTGGCTCGGCGGCTGAAAGGAGAGGCTCCGTGACCTAAGGCTAGGTAATGATCATCTTCTTGCGAGTCCAGCTGTGTAGTTGCAGTTACTTGTCGACCTTATGGAGGAAGATGTTTCTTAGGTAGAGGAGCTGTAACAATAAGGCCATCGCCACACTAAAAGCTCACGAAGTTTCTGGAAGAAACGATCATGTAATGCTGTTCAAATAATCCTGCATTTGGCGAGAATCACAGTGCCTAATCGCAAGATTTATAGACGCTAGACATGATGCTTCTGTTGCATTTTCAAACTTTGAGTGATGGACTGCAAAAATTACGAAGAATTTGCGCATTCATTCTTGATTAGATCGTATATACTTAACCTCGTTCTTTTTTCATAGCAACATACTAATTTTCCAACATCTTGGTCGCAATCTCGACTCTATTTTCAAAAAACCGAAGCGAACGCAACTAACATAATTTATTAGGTTGTCCGGAAATTAATGCCCGTTTTGAATTTCAATTGCAATAAGTCATACACTTCTCGCTTCTAAATAGGTTGCTCTACAAGATGGCCTTCTTGCTTTTGCAACAGCTCTCATTCTCGTCAACACATAAAAATCCTACAAAAAGTCAACTCATAAAAATCATACAAAAATTTTAACTTGCTCACGTAAACACTATCCACATAAGACATCTATATATGTCTTTGCCGTACTTTTTCCTCTGTTAGAAATCAAGAAAACGGAAATGTTCGTGCATTTAATTTTCGTGCCAAAGTGATGCTGTGCCGTCCTCACATAGTTAGTTGTATACTACAAACCTGTAGAAGTATAAACGTAAATTCTCAGCTCTCTACAAGCTCTAGTTCTCGAGAAATTTGAATTTTAGCTTGAACCACCTTACTAGGAAAAGCTCTATGCGGCATTTTTCGAGAACCAAAGCTTGTAGAGAGCTGAAAAATTGAGTCTGTACTTCTACAGGCTTGTGGTATACAACTACCTGTGTGAGGATGGCACAGCATCACTTCAGAAAATGAACGAAAATTTCCGTTTTCTTGGTTTCTAGCATAGAAAAAATACGGCAAAGGCGTATTAGATGTCTTATGTGGATAATGTTTACGTGAGCAAGTTAGAATTTTTGTAGGAATTTTATGAATTGAGTTACGATTTTTCTCGACTTTTCGGGCAGCTGAGCCTTTCTACTTTTCACCTTAAAACTCGAGGTGGATAAGAGCTGTTGCAAAAGCAGGAAAGATATCTTATGGAGCTTAATTTCCTCTATTGAATGGTACTTTGCAACCTATTCAGAAGTGAGAAGTCTATGACTTATTGAGGTTGAAATTCAAAACGGGCATTCCGGACAACCTAATAATTTCAGAAGATCTAACTCAATGCCTTTTTTACCTTCCTTTCATGTGCTTCCGACCATTCCTTCTCCATGTGTTTGCTTCAGATTATTAGAGGACAATTTATATGTAAAAACGTTGCCTTTAACCTTTGAAGCACTGCTTGGACAATGAAACGCATTCGTCTCATGTAGCACAGAGTGAAGAAGTTTTAAAACATTTTCTGTTTGCAGAAGTAAATACAAGTGAACATCACAATTTTTATTGAAACGGTTTGAATTTATCTCAGATCAGGATTGGGGCCTTGATCCATATAATATTCGTAATAATAATAATCGTGGGGGTGATGGCCCGCAAAAAAGCCATCACCAAAATGACCATGTCCTTGACCGTACTCGCTGATGTTGTGCAGCCTTCTTTCCATTTGCAGCCTTCTCTCCAACTCCTTACGTTTTTCGGAACGTTCTTGATCGGTAAGAGGTTCACCAACAAGTGAACTCAAAAGATCCCACAATCTACTCCAAAGTGAACGCTTTCTTAATCCATGATGTTTGCGTACAGATTCAGACCCAGGTTTGAACCTCAGTGTGGGATCCGTAAGATTGCTGTCAGGATCGTACCACTTCCGACGAAAAAGCTGCTCTGTTGTTGGACCTCCGCATACTTCATGGATGAAGATTGCTCCAAGAAGGAAGATTACCTGAACGAAAGGCTAGTTGAATTCAACACTATGGTATCTATAACCAACTTACAGTAGCTAGCGACACCATTTGAGGATGGGTTTGCTGAATTTCAGCTGCTTTATATACTCTTCAAATGAATAGAAAAGGAGTAAAGACAAGATTAGGAATGAATGTATTGAAGCGATGAGTGCTCTTCCATTGAGATAAATTTGTGGAGCTTGCAATGATTTTGCATTGTATTTCACTGCAAAATGTCGCTACACAAAACTCAGCAACAACATTGCCTCTATGGTTCTATCGTTTCCAGATCCGTTCATGGATTGTCAGTATCAAACATGCCCTCACATTTCGTTCAACCCAAGACAATTTGACGAAAATCTGCTGCCCTTGCAACGCAATGTACTATCAACAGCAGAAAAGAATAAATTTGGTGAGGCACATTGTTTAAGTGGCGTAATTATCCAAGCTGAACGCTCTTACATTATTTGCAAGCTAACACTGCAATTAGCTTCTGACCTTATTTGTAAAAGCAAAAACTGCACTTGACAATTATCATTAAGCTAATTAAATCCAATTTTAGACCAGCTGACTTCATGGTTCCATCAACAATACTATCGAAATTTTCCATGAACAATGCAATAGTGCGTGAATTATTGTTTTCGTTGACACACTCTGAAACATAGATGGGATGAGTGGAGTTGACAACTTGTACTTGTAGAGGCTGCTTGCTTTCATTCATTTTCAATCATTACTACTGTGTTGCATTATTTCTTAATCAATGATCTTTGATGCTTTTGATCTGAGATCTTCAGAAATTTTTTTTGCGCTGTCATCTAACAGAAGTTGTTTTCTTTCACATACACCATCATTATGTTGTCCCGAAAGTTCTATCGTTTCATTTTTGAAAATTTGTAACTTTTTGCTGCCTCAACGGATCTGCCTTTGTAGAGCTATCTCAGTGAGCTCAGCTATAGTTTTATTGTAGAGATAATGAAGGAAGAAGAAGACCACTTGGTCTTTGCATTTTAAGTTAGGTCGCCAAGTCTGGAACGCTGCAGAAAAATCCGGAATTGTCAGTATGTAAGTTTTATGACCTACTCTTTGCATTAAAAAAATTGCTGTTTGGACGTCTCAATAAAAAGTTATAATTTTTGAGAAAAGTGACATTGATCAATTTTAGCGTTTCCTATTGTAAACTCGAAAATTATAATTTTTCACATAAACAGCATAGGTTTTCTCTCAAGTTCAGAGAACAGTTCGTAGAACTTATGTGCTAGCAATTCCAGATTTTTCTGCAGCGTTTCAGATTTTTGGCGACCTATCTTAAATTGCTCATGCTTAAGTAGCCTTCTTTTTCCATTTTATCTCTGCAATGAAGTATAGTGGAAACTCATCGAGGCACTGCTACAAAAAGGAAGACCTCTCCCTTCCAATGAAATAAAAAAGAAGCAAATCCATCGAGATTGCAAAAAGTTACAAGTTTTCAAATATGACAGAACGTTCGGGACAACCTAATACAATGAAGTATCAAAAATGATAGCATTTCGGGAAAGATAACCAGAGTGTCCCAATAAATGTAATTTCATGTAAGGAGCTCTCATAATCCTTTAAACACCTTTTGTGAAGCTGTTAATCTTTGTTATGGTTGTAATCAGTTAGTAAGTCGCCAATCGCTTCTCACCATTATACATACCGCTCACATTTTTTTGAAAAAAAGACGCGAATGGATTTAGACTTAGGCGACCGTTGCGTAAGTCATGCGACGGTCGCGTGAGTTATGTGACGGTCGTCTAATGTGCGGACATCGCCATCGCGTCGCATATCTCAATTCAGAGTGGACAAATTCTGAATCCAAAGCCACCATTCGATTTAGCTCGGCACGGAACATCTTCTGATATATTGAAAGTGGGGTACGATATCTTCGATATTCCGTTTCCAATTTTTCCAAATTCTTCTGCGGGGGTCCTTTTGCAAAGATGTGAAGCAGCGCCTATCCCACATGGAAGATTCCACTGAATATTATTCGATAGTACTGTTTTTGTAGATTATCGTGCGTTAAAGAATTGCCTCAGACTTCTTTCCAAAACAGAGAGAAGAGTTGGTGAATTCTGAAAATATTACGAGTTTTATTCTATTATACTTGCCATAACTTCCTTCGGAACAGTAAATTTTTAATCAGAAAGAAGCGGCGTGCTCAGCTCATCAAGACGAATCTTTGGATGTTCTGCACGTTTTTGATGCTCCGGTTTTAGTATTCTTGAATCTTTCTGCGACGTCTCTTCGCAAATGTGTGGAGCAGCGCGCAGTGCCCCTAATAGACTCCACTAAAGACCGTTTAAAAGCATTCAAAGGAGATAGAAGGGCTGGCGATTTGTGGAAAAATCTTGTCGTCCCATATTCTACTCGTCATAGCCCTAGAATACGGAGCTATCTTGCCAGATGTGAGTTTCGTAATCAACGGTTCAGATAACCTCTATGAGCGAGTTTTCAAAGAACTTCGGGTTGTTTGATTTTTTCTCGATCCACGCTCTGAAGCTTGCAGATGGATTTTGGTCAAAATGCTGATGATTTTGGATTGTACGGAAATTTCGCTTATAGAGGTTTTCGGACACGCTCTTTACGAAAATCGTGGTCTTTGAGGATTACAGGGTTTTTCTGCAGAGATATTAGGTGGGAGAACTGTAACTGAATCATGAGAGTGCGTAATTTTGCCCGCACTTCTCGCGTATCTGCCAGAAAACTTGCCTGCGTGCTTCTCTAAGGCCCGTATGCACGTACGTCCCCGCTGGGGAGGGGAGGGGAACTGGATCCCCAGGGGAACGATCCCCTCCGCCGAACCCCGCCATGACAGAGGGGAGGGGAGCGATCCCCTCCCCTGCACTCAAGCGGGGATGGTGTGAATGATTTCAGAGGTATTGATCGAGCGAACCCCAGTGCATACGGGGTTCGAATGGGGGAGGGGATCCCTTCCCTTCCCCCACTCGAACCCCGTATGCGCGAATTCAACTCAATAACGCGGGGGAGGGGATCGACATCCCCTGCAAAGAAGTAGGGGTTCGATGGTGTAGATCATGCTAGAGACGCGGATATTCTGGTTCTGCTCAGTCATTACCAAGCATTTCGTTCATTTTGATGGAGGATTTTCTTTGAATGCCGGGTTCTTCTCTCAGCGACCTGTGGCTTCCAATTTGTCTTTCTTTTCTACATTCGCCTCTTAAGAAGAAATCCGAGCAACAATAGCTGCCAATTTCGATTATTTTTAAGAGTTCTTGATCATTCAGGAAATTTGCGCATTTTTCATATAACATAATAGTTTTAACTATATAGGCTGAGTAAACACACTGTAACTTTCATATTTCATGACATGTTGCCATTATCTTGTTTTTTTTGACATAAGCTGCCTCGAAAAAATCTAGAAAGTAGCATATTTGCCTATTTCTGAGTAGAAATCCCCTGGGGAGTGATCCCCTCCCCAGCGTTCCCCTTGTGCATAGCAGGGATGGCTGCTGGGGATCATTCCCCTGGGATAAAGGACGATATGCAGCTGATAGTTACAGCGTTTATGGAGAGCTGGCACAATTTGCAGCTTCTGTTATGTGTTAGAATACTGCTTTGAGCGTCCGCGCGGCACCCCCCCCCCTTTTCGGCAGCATAATGTCTTCTACCCATTCCCTTGCAGAGACACATCAACTTCTATAGTTCAACATTTTTACGCTGAAATGGAGCAGCATGAACGAAAGTGGGCAGCATCCAAGAAAGCAGGAACATAATGGGAGTAGAAAAATTCATTTTTAGCGCCCCGAGCGCAGTCACTGCATACGCGCATTCCGCAACCCTAAATTAATTAAAGTGAGGAGATGAAGATGAGTTGTAGTCAAAATATGAAATAAGAAAGAGTTTTTCATAGAAAATTTGAAAGCAAGGTGATTTCCCCGCTTGATCCCCTCTTGTGCATAAGAGGGTTCACTTCCCCTCCCCACAGGGGATCCCTTGTACGATATTGGTTGTTGTGCATACGGGGGTTCGCGCGGGGAGGGGAGGGGATCCCCAGCGGGGATCATTTCAATGGTTAAGCGCACATCCCCTCCCCGCGGGGATGTACGTGCATACGGGCCTAAGTCAAAGTTACTAGGAACAGTGCTGTCGAATGGTGCATTACTCAGGCTCCAATCCGTAACAGTCGCCGAGTTACGAGCCTACGTAAACACGTCCTCATGAAATTTGCCCATAATGTAAAGATCGCATACTTCGTCGATATTCCACCGTGAGTGCTTGTACAACACGCTGATCAAATTTTTTCACATCCTTAATGGATCTTATTGTGTTAGAGCTCTAGCCACGAAATAGCTTTGATATTCAATTGAGCAGCTGAAGCACAGCAAGCACCATATTCTATACAGTGGGAGTCATTGGGAAAGCGAGCATAATATCACTCACTCATAGATATATGATTGAGTATATATATATCATATATATATCATATCATATCAAATCATATCATATCATATCATATCATATCATATATCATATCATATATATCCTTATATCACTCAACATCATACTCACTCATAGCGCAGCTGCAGCGCAGTACTGGTCGTTCGTTCTCTACATCCCGATCTGGCAAGGCTGAGGAAGCCCTGAAGAAAGCGGACGGACCGCCGAAACGTTGGCATTTCGTACAATAGAGTCTTGCTACCAACCTTGGTTAACAGCTTTGAAAAACTGTATTCACAATTTGAATCACATGCCAAGGTTTATCGACAATCGAGCACGAGGTCTTGTAAAACATAACATCTGCAATGCGAGTGCCATAGAAGCACTCACGGTGGAATTTGGACCAAAAATGCGACCTTTCCATTTTGGGCAAAATTTATGAGGACGTGTTTTCGTAGGCTCGTAACTCGGCGATTTTTATAGAATGGAGCCTGGGTCATGAACCATTCGATAGCACTGTTTCTAGCAACTTTGAATTAGAAAAGCAAGCAGGCAAGTTTTTTGACAGATAGGCGAGAAGTGCGGGCAAAATCACGCACTTTCGTAATTAGTTACAGTTCCCTTACCTCACATCTCCGCAAAAAAACCTTGTA